GCCCGCGCGCGGCTGCCGATGGGCGCTGCGGGCCCGCCGGCGCTGCGCTAGGTATAGTGCTGTTGCACACACAGGCAGATTGTCCACCAGATGGTACAGCCTACTCTTTGAGAAATATTTGAAAGGGCAACAAAATACAGCAGAAGCCATTTGACAGTCCACATGGTTAGTGCAAAATTAGCCAAAATGACTCCGCTGGAAGCACAGCCAGTGCTGAGCAAAGCTGGAGATGCTGCTGAGGGAAGGCACCCAGACCCTCAGAGATTTCCTTCCTCGTCTCCCATCCCTGGTCCTCCTTCGACCGAGCGCTGCTCTCTGTGGGCTGTCGGGATGCCTTGGAGTGAAAGTGCTGCTGGGGCTCGCCCCCAGGTTGTGCCGATCACATCTGGACCACGCAAAGCCACTGGGTACCCCGAAATCCCCCCGACTTTTGCTTTGGTCTCTACCAAGATCATTGGTGCTGGCGGAGGGCAAGGAAACTTCAGCCGCTCCCTCTCATCCTCTACAAGTAACTTCTCACACAATTTCTGAAAGAGGAGCCCTTTTTTTTCTCAACCCACCTGAATTTCTTCTCCCTCGCCGGCCCCCACGCCAAGCTGAGCCCTGGCTCATTTCTTGGGGCGGGGGACTGAGATTTCTGTGAGCAGGAAGCCCTAGCCCTCGCTGGGACCTGAGCAGCTGATGGTTTCCAATCCTCGTCCCCCATTTGGCGGCCGAGCTGCAGCGGAAGGGCTGGACTGGGGGGGCTGCGGGGCCACCCCGACACAGTGAGGACGGGGGGCCCGGGGCAGGGCAGGAGCCCGCAGAAACCCCGAGCGAAGGGCTGAGCCCGGGGCAAGGGATGTGGGGAGCCAGGGGCAAGCATGGGGGGAGCCTGACAGTAGCAAAATCCTAAATTTTCCACCTTTCCATCCATAGGAGCGAGGAGATGGGGGGAGGATGTGTGCCCACCTCCCAGCGTCCTCGTACCAAATAAAGAGCCAAGAAAGGAGCTACTGAGTGTCCTAATCGGGTCCTGGGCAGAGTTACTGCTCTGCCACTGATTTAGGCAATTAAAGGCAGAGTCTCCGCTGCTGAAAGCTGACATCTTCAGGTGGCTCAGAACAGAAATTAATACCGCTGCTAACTGTGCCACCTAGTCATGCTGTAAAGCAAATTAATTACTGCAACAGAACTAATAATAACAGTTCGGGCAGAATAGGAGCAATATTATGGTTTACCATCAGAGACTGTGCTGAGACTTTTGCCTCTCTGCTGCCCATGAGTGCAACCCGGCAATTGCTGACTGTAACATTTCTATTGTATAGTTT